AAAGTGTTTTTAAAAAATAAAAATTATTTAAAAAAAAAAAAAAAAAACCATTACTTTGTGGTATTTTTGTGTACCCCTCTAAAGGACTTGACATTTGTTCAAAGTTATAATATATTTTATATTATAGTAATTAATATTATATATGCTTAGGTGGTATTTTTATTTGAATTAATAATGTATTCTGTATTATTTAATCAATATCTCATTTATTCAACTTTAATATACTTAAATTTTATTGTCTGATAAAATAGAGATATAATAATTTTAAAAAAAAATCAAGATGTCATGATATTAAAACTATTAGAATGTCTAATACTAATCATATGATAAATTTGATAAAATTAAAATTTATACTATATTCTACACATTTGGTAGTTGTGATTAGATTTCGTGATGTTTTTAATGTCAACACATTTTAATATTTTCTTTTCTCTAATAATTTATTGATAAAATTTTATATCTATCTTAATTAAGTTTCATATGTTATTAAATAAGATAATGCATATAATATAACAATTCTAATAAAATAGAAAAGAGCATATTATTTAGGGGTTAGTTTGTGCGTGAATTCAGTTAAGGGGGTAATTTGCCACTGCTAGATAAGTTGAGTGGGTAATTTGCTTGTTTTGCCTTTTTTAAAATGCCTATAAAAAATTCCGTTGTACCTGTGGAACGAAGAGCTCTTTCCACCCTGCACTGAGAGAGTGAGGCGATCCCATGTATGCTCTGTTCCATTCTTACTGGTAAAAGTTTCTTCCACTATCTTTAAGTTCAATCCTCTTCACCTGCATTCACTGTTGTTTACACAGAACCGTCAAATTTTTTCTGTTTCGTAGGAGAAATTGTCAGGCTTGTTTAGGGTTTTGCGGTCTTTGGGGGTTTAACTTCACTATCTAACCCTAATCTTTTTTTTTTTTTTAGTTTTTCTTGGTTAATTCTATTTTTGGGTTACATGAATAGTTTGTTAAAGCTCTTTATGCAGGAAAAATAAAAAAAAAAAATTAAGCTTTAAAGTAAAACATTCTTATGAATCCAAAAGGGAAGCAATTTGGAAATGTAGCTATCTTCTGTTGGAAATTCTTTGAAACTTTACTCGT